TTTTTTTTTCATATTTTTTCTTTCCTTGATTTCTTCCTATTCTTTATTTGTTGCTTTATTTTGAAATTCTTTATTGGAAACACTTGGGGATATTTTTTATATTTTACTTTTGGACTCACACAACTGTCTAATATCACAATTATTACAATAACTACTTTTTCTCTTGTATCCAATTTACATTATATCTGCAATGAGCATAAATTCTTCAATCTTGAAAAATATTAAGTGTCTCTCTTACATTAATTTCCCAAGACCTAATTGATGGACTGGAACAGAGACAGCTCCATCAGGAAAACTGATATCAACTTGAATTCTATCACAGATTTTCTACCATTTTCCAGTTATCTTTACTATATAAATGTTTTAATTTTTTTAAAATATCATTAACCTCTCTATATGTGAACATATTCCAATCTTTTGTCCTTAAACCTACACAATTGTACCACTTTTCTGCATTGCAGTTGTTTTGTCTGACCAATGCATCCTAATGTTTATCATTTCATAACTGAAAAAATAATTTGGTTTGATTTTCTTTATAGAATGATTTGCAGCCAGTCAGTGCATTAATTCTGTAAAAAAATATCTTTAACAAAATTTAAACCTGGTCATTATCTTTCTTAAAAGGCTTCTCGATCAAATACAGTATTTATGTCTTATAAACATTTCTTTCTAAAATATTTTATTTTTAATTATTTACTTATTTGACATGTTCAGTTTTGCCTTGAGGTAATTCAATTAATAAAGATGAAATTCTCTAGTCTTAAACATAAATCTTTTCTTTTTTTTTCTGTTTTAAGTAAAATTCATTTTTAATTCTGAGTGGTTGACTATTTTTCAACTGATATCCATGTGCTGTGTTTGTCTATTTTCTGCTGATCATCAAATAGTTTTTAGTCCTTTTACCTATGTTTCACTGATATTGTATAGAATCCAGAGAATATATATAGGGATTGTGGAAAAGAGGGGTCTTGCAAAAGGACCTGCTTGGAGGAATGTAATAATCTGCCTAAATAAAAAAGTCAATAATAATCAAGTTGTCCTGTTCACTCCAACAAGTGAAGACCAAAATACTAGAATTGAACACTTTGTACAACTTTCATAGTACTAGTATTACAGAGTCATAATCAGTCAATCAATGACAAGTTTATTAGTTTGACTATATAGAAAAAAACAAAAACCTACAAGTTGTTTATTACAACTACCAGTTTCATGCTGTCAAATGTCCCTGTTTTATTTCCTGAAAAAAAAACAAAAAAAAAAAACAATTGAAAATGTAGAATAAAATTGAAATAAGAGAAAACTTTCTGGATCAAGTGAATTGATCAAATAATTTAATTTTTATTGAGTATTATTTTTGGATAAATTTACATGAACCTTTATAGAAAATATGCACAATTCTAAATTCATTCTTTACTGAAAATTGTTCTTAGAGAGATAGGGAGAAAAACTAAAGCAAGACAAAGAAAACATGCAAAACTCAACTTTTAAAATTTCAGATTTTATTTGTTGCGTTTATGAAATAGTCTTGTTTGGAAAACAGTTGATATGAATTGAAGATAATTTTAAATTTTGTAAAAAGTGCAAAAACCATTAAATAATTAACACTACATATGAAAATTGAAAATAAGTGTCTAAAATGTCATTAAAATAATATAGAGTAGTTTTTAGGCTTATTTTAGGAAAGAACCGTAACAACATTAATATTACTGAAGTTGATCTGTTGAACTGTCATTCTGAAAAATTTAACTGAACTGTTAATTTTTCCTAACTTTTTTAAGATACTTTCAGATTCACTAAACTTATTTTTACTGGAGTTTTTCAGCATCAATATCTTTCCTGGAAAATCTGATATAGCTTAAGAAAATCAAAGCAAACCTCACTCTATCCAACACAACCTTACATTTCAAAGTGCTGAACAATTTAAGAAATGTTTATTTTCATTTACCAGTAAATTTAATAACTATTTTCCCCTGAAAGAAGCCTATATATTTCTTCTTGCTCATAAAGCTTCAGGTAGAGTAATAATCCATTGTTTATTAGACTGGTTAATTTGAGTAAGTGCATTTCTATTCAATATTGGATTGATATATTGATATCTATGTAGATATTGCACACTTTGCTGTTTGTGTGAGTAGATTTTCAGATTGATTTGTATCATTTGTGTTGCAAATAATAATGTGTCAATGTCTTGCATGCATTTGTGTGTGTGTCAGATTATGTGGTGTGACATGATTTTAATAAGAACATGAAGAAAATTTAAAGTAATAAGTTTAAACTCATTTGTTTATATTTTTGCATATAATATAGTAGATATTACATGTGACATTATAAAATCTCAAAATGAAGTACATTACCCACTTGAAGATATGAATTTATTTTCTAAATCAGTGATGTCAAATTTTAATCTATGATGGACACACATAAAATGATTTTTTCCAAACTCCATTTTTAAAATGTGCCCCAAAGCAAATCTTTATTAAGCTATGTAGAATGTTTCAACACTCATAGTGAAAAAACTCTCTCTACAAATACAATGTGTATTACATGTGTTGTTATAATACAGATGGCTAAATACACACACATAATTCCCAGTAGATATTTATTCTGTATCATTCTTTTTTGGTATTTTTAATAGACTGTAGTACTACTAGATAGTCTTCAAAGAACAAGTGGTGGATATGCTGCTGGTGTAATGGATAGTTCTTCAGAATAAGAAATCAGAGTGCTGAGTTCGAATTCCAGTCATGTTCGCTACATTCACTTATGTGCAAATACACTTGGGAAAAGTATGAATCCATCTTTTATCTCTAGCTATGGATTAAATAGTATGACTTGTATCTGATAAAAAATCATTGTTATTCTAAAAAAAAAAAAAAGGTAATGCAATATACACTTGCAAAAAAAAAAAAGAATTATTCTTACAATCTAAAATATATTGCGGCTTTAAATAACACTAGTAAGAAACCAATTTACCTTTCTCTAGATGTATGAGTTTCATTGATCTTAAAGTTAAAATTAGGAATGCGATTTTATGGAGTTAAGTTACTAATTTATTCATAATAGATATTCAATTATTTTCTTTAGTAAGATGAGTTCTAAATGAGCTTTTTTGTAAGCATTTTGCTTTTCCATTCTGATCAATGCGTAATGAACTCACAGACATGAAGAATATTTGGGTGAACATAAAGCCAGGTTTTTTATAAATCACAACTTTGAAAACTTTTGGTACCGACAAGAGCTTTGCATTTTTAAGAGAATAAATGGTAAATCTTTATGTCAATAATTTCTAGGTCTAATTTGTAATGTTTGTTATAAAAGATGATTTCTAATCAAATGAAGTTCTTTACAAGAATTAAATAGGTCAGAAAGCAGTAGAATTTTCATAGAATGTCAGATGTTTTTTTTTTTTTTTTGTTATAGAATAATTTTAAATTTGTGATTACAAATAAATTCTTATGGAGAGCTGAAGAGAACTAAATTTTACAAATAACCACATAAAAATTCAATCCTTCATTACATCTTTCCAAAATTAATTCTATTCTTCATAAGGATTAATTAATAACAGAAAAAAAGCTTATTTCATGCACATTGTCTATGAATGTAAACTTATCAGTGTTTGGTTAATGAAAAGAAAAGAAAAACAGTAAATTTAAAACCTGAGTATATACATTGATATTAAGTGGGTATTTGTCAACAAACTATTAAACATATTTTTTCTGAGACAGCACATTATTTACCCATCCTACGACTTAGGAAAAACTCAGAAACTATGAAGCAGAAAGAGTTAACTTAAAATTTATACAGTAAACATTTAAAACAAGCAGTTGTGGAAGTACACTTTGAGTGTGTTTATGTGTGTGTGTGTGTGTGTGTGTGTGTGTGTGTGTGTGTCATAGAGACAGAAAGAGATGAAAATTAGAAAAAAAAAATGAAATAGACGAGTGGTGGAAGGTTTCTAAAATGACTGTGACGCATGTTTGGGACCCAGAGTGTTGTGTGTAACGAAGCAACATGTTGTCGATAATGGTCTGTTCGCTAGCAGCAGGAGATTTGCTCTGCTGATGATACCTTACACCCAAAGAATTCAGTGTTGACGTCATTGAAGAAACCTTACCATGTGAGTTTCTCACATTGCTCCAAGATGGGATGCAAAAAGTGCACTTTGTTCTCGGCTGTTGATGAAACTGGCAATGATGATGATGATGATGAAAGTGATGCTGCCAACTGCAGTGACGACAGCTGGGGATGACAGTCTGCTAGAGGTTGCACTGAAGGCTGAAAACCCACTTTCCCCTCTCGACCTCCTTCACAACATAATCTCAAGTTGTAGTCAGACTACTATTGGTGGTGGTGGTGGTGGTGTTGTCATGGTTGTTGTCGTTGGCTACCATCGATACAAATAATTGCGAGCTCTGTAAGAAGAGTCCCTCCCCCGTTTCGTAACTCCTCCTTTCCTTTCATCATCAGCATTTTGTCCATTGTTGAAAGTTTTATTGAAGAGAAGAAAAAGTTGGTAGGGAATGGGGTGGGAAGCTGAAATAGATCGAAGGAGGAGGAGGATTTCCCCTCCCTTTCGCAAACTGAATGATACTAACAGTTGGGCTCTTTACTTACACACTGTATAGATGCGCACAGCGTGTGGAAAGGGGCGGAGTCGGAGGGAGCAGCTATCGAGGGTGGGTGGGTGTGTTTGAAAAAAGAGAAGAAGGAATGTAAACGGATCATACTTTTTCTTCTTTTCTTCTTCAGCATTGAAGAACTGTAGTGTATAACTGTCACCGTTGACACTACTACACTCTACGTCTACGTTAGTCTTTCTTCTTTTTCTCACTTTCTTTCCTTTTTGTTCAATCCAAAAGTTCTTGAAGAAAGAAGTAGCTGAGTCGGTCGGTTGTCTCCACTACTCAGACTGGCGACAGCATCTTTCTCTCTACTAATTGTTGTTGTTACTGCTGCTTTTTTTTCCTTCTTCTTCTTTTTTGTCTCCATCTCCGCCTCAGTCTCTAGAGGCCACCAAGTAACATCAGCATCACCTCAAGCGTCTGCAGCAGAGGCGGCTAGCGGCGGCGGCACCACCGGCCAGCAACGAAGAAAAAAAATTATTTCAGTTTGCTTACTGCTCGTCACGAACAACATTCTCATTACGACGAGGCTGGACCCTCGATGTATGATTATATACCACTAATTCCAATATACCATCATCAACCCCTACCGTAAAAAAAAAGAGACAAAACACGCTTGCTGCTGCTGCTGCCACTATTTACCAATAAGTCTCTACTTCTTGTCGTTGTCTTCATCTTCTTTTCTTTCTCCGGCATCATCGCCGCCTCCTCCCCCTCCTCCTTCTCCTCATCGCTCCTAAGAACGGCAGCAGCAGCAGCAGCAGCCTCCATACCACTAGTCTACCTTGCTCTTACCACAGACAGGAGTCTTTAGCTGACTGACACTCACCCTCCATTTCAACTCTGTTTCCCTAACTTAGCAGCCAGCTCGGAGTTCCTGTGGCTCTATTTTCATACACAGTGAGTATATTTAGCATTTTGTATAAATTTAGACACTGGCCAACCTCCCCACCTTCAAAACAACACACACACAACAAACTAGATTGGGCTGTGATAAATACCAGAACAATTAACACATACACACACACACACACACACACACATCGTATATAAAACTTTTTTGTTTGCTGACGCAAAAGTGCGTTTGGTAAAAAAAAGAAAAAAAATATCTGACTAAAATAGTCGCAATAAAGTCGAAACTTAAAACACACACTTTCTCTGTTTTGTCCACAGTATATATTTCTTTTTCATCACATTTAACTACTTTTAAAAATCTTTGCTCCTCCTCTCAAAGTTTAACAAATTAGGGGTGGGGTATTATTAAATCATTATTCCATATTGGAAGATCAAGAAGTCGGACGTTATTTCCACGCGTCACTTTAAAAGTTGTAAAGTTTTGAAGAGAAAACCAATAATTGTCCCGCGTCATCATCGGCACGTAGACTTTCCTTGAAGTTGTTTCAAATGATTTTTTTCATGTTATTTTTTTGTATTCAAATAATCATTTAAAAAGAAAATAAGTCGAATAGACACAACTTTACCGTGTAAATTGTAAATTAATTCGTTATGATTGTGCTCGCCGTAGTGGAAAAAATATTTCAGAGTTTTTATGTGTAGCTTGTGATTCTTCCTATCAAGGAAAAAAAACTGTATTATTATCATAATTAATTTGTCAGACCTTTCATTCAGAAATCTCTATATTTGCATATTTTCATTACTTTTTAGTGCGTCCGATTAGGAAACATAAGGATTTTAATTTTTTTTCACTCAGTGTTCTAATCAAATTACGTTTTTTATTTATTTTTACTGGTGTTGTACATTTTTTTTTTGTTTTTGTTTTTTAATTTTTAGTTTTTGTTTTTTAGTTTCTGTTTTTGTTTTATGACCTCCATGTCTTATTTGTCACCCATTAAAAGTTTTCTGTGCTCAGGATTGAATTTCGTTGTAGTTAAAAACTTAAATAATTACTTTGTATTACTCCCACCCACCTAAAGATGGCACGTCTTACGCACCTATCAACTGAGTGTATTTAATTAAATATGTATCAATAAAAATATTAAACGCAATTATGTTGGGACATGCTTCTGTGGTAATTAATAGAAACGGGTAAGCTTTAAATTTCTTGTCGTCTTAGCTTAAAATTGTGTTGTTCATTGCGTCTCTTTTTCGATTCGTTTCTTCTTTTCTTTTTTTCTTTTTTTACGGATACATTTTAAAACTTACGGCCATTACAGACTTAATTCACGCACAACACTTAACTCCAAAAAGGTCATTATTTATTTATTTTTTTTAAAGTGACTTCTAGCGACAGTTTCTTGTCAGTTTGGGACCGAGGAAATCGTTTTGAAGCTTTTTTTTTTTCTTTAGCAAAACTTGCTACATCCACATATCGACTTGGAAATTTTCGGGTTTAGGCGCGCGGGAGAGGTGGCGGGGCGCTATCATCGGGTTTTCAACCAAAACAAATCAATAAAGCTACCAACACACATCATCAGAATGCTTTAAAAAGAAGATACTTTTTTATATATATATATATATATTTACTTAGTACGGCGTCCACTCCGCTGTTGGTCGGGCCTAGTTGTAAAATTAGTGTGCATGTCGGCACGATTTTCCAGCCACCTGCTTCTTCTTTCCGGGTAGATGTCGTGGTAGGGGGTGGCAGTTGTAGCAAGCACGTGCATCAGTGATCACGTAACTTCTTTTTCCCATGATCAATTAAAAACAAAAATAAAATGTGTACAATGTTACGCAGTTGGTAGTAGTATAAATAAAGTGTAAAAGAAAGTTATCGCTACATTCGAAACGGAGATAAAACATATACGTTGTCGAATGTAAACTAAGAAGTTTTAAGAGTTACAAAAAAAACATTCTAGCGATTTTCGGTAAAAGTCAACAAAGTGTAGTCGGCTGATGTTCATTTTTTATGCCTGTTTCCGACAAGTGCGTGTGTATCATGATTAAAATTCGAATGGAAACTTTAGGGAAGAACCAAACACAATGCTTTTTAGTTTCACAAGATAAATGAGAATTTTTGCGCTTAGAAAATAAGATTCGCTTGATGTTCGCGTGAAGATTCGTGTGGCGAAAAGATAGTTGTCTTCATTTGTGTCTATCAAGAACTCCTACCACGCTGGCCGGATTTATTAGGACTGAACGTTAAAGTGAAGTAGACATGTATTGACATGTTGACACAAGAAGACAGATAATTACGAGTAGTACCCCCAGACAATAATACCCAACGAAATATATTTGTTTGACGTTCATTATCTTTTGAAGTATTTTTTCCTTATATCCAGTAACTATTGGTTGGTACTTAAACTTAAATCAGAAAATTTAACAACATTTGAAACAGGATTTATGTGATCATGAAAGAATAAGATACATTGTTGTTGCTTGTGGTTGATGTAGCAATCATTTTTTTAAATTTTTAAATAAAATTAAGGGAACACATCATCCCAAATATTCAAAGAAAGACACATGATGATGAATATGATGCTGACGTCGTCTCCTATGTCATAGATGAAACTAGGGTGTATTGTGTTATATATCCATATGTAGTGCGGATACTGGAACATTATTATTTTTTAAAAAGTGTGTATGTGGGGGGAGGGTAAGAAAAAAATGAAATAGAAATCCGAGAACTAACAACTGCCACGCCTCGTATAAAGAAAAGCGCCGTAGTCCGCACGTGCCTTCTCTCGTTCATTCTTTTTTTTTTTTTTTGTGTGTGTGTGTGTGTGTGTATTGTACACGTTTGTATGTTTAATAATGTCACTACTATTATTACACTTGCTGTCTAAAGACGGATAAACATTCAGTATCTCCGGTATAAAAATCTGCCCTCTTCACGTCTATATCGACATGTGAGTCTGCAAGTACAATAGTGGCTGGCTGAAAATGATAATGATGATGATAGTCTTCTATCATCATCATCATCATCATCATTCTTGAGCTTCTCATCTCGTCAGACTTTAGGAAAGTCACCTTGTTATGGCTACGTACGTGCATGGCTTTACACATGATGGTGAAGTATTTAGCTATATGTGTATGTACGTGTGTTTTGAACTAAACTGCATATTGCTGAAATGGAACCGTGTACTGTGTAACGTGTACTCGTGTAACGTGTACAGAAACTAACCATTTTTGTCGTTATTGTTTGAAGTAACCGTAACGCAATGTTAGTTACATAGTCAGATGAGGTGAGGTCGACGTGTAATGTTTCCTTACTGCAACGACGTGTGCTATACAAAACATTTAACACGTACGGACTTAACACACTTACATGCCTGTATAAATGCTGAGAAACAGTAAGTACGGCATATACTTTATTAGTGATACGAACAAAATATTGTGACATATTGCGGAGGTATTCGTCGTAGGTACACGCACATGTTCTTGTGTGTACAGTGCAAAAAAGTATTTCATTTATTTATTTATTTTTTTTTTACCACATAGTAAGTTCAGTTTTGTATGTGCTTTTTCTCTTTCTATGTATATAGATAGAAACTGATAATTAGTGATTTATCGATGTTTTTTCTCTATCTATTTCGTATATACACAAATTAGAGCATGTCGTTTTTTTTCTCATCTCACTTGCTTCTTGGACATCTGTGACTGAAAAGTGAAAACATTGTTGTTACTCAACCTAAATGAGCTTTACTTGTATTGTTCGACATTTGCATTGGGTTTTGAATTTGTTAGTTTTTTATAGAGAAAGAAACTATGAACTGCATCACCTTTTCAGTTGCTGACGTAATTTGCAAGAAACGGCGTAAAAAGTTATCAACTTCCTCAAATGTCGAACTGATTTCAATCAACTCAACGTTAATTTTTTTCCACTTCCTCAATGACATTTATTTTATTTTTCTCTAATCATTTGTCAAGTCATGATTCCTATTTTGTCCAATATTTTACGGTTTTATTGACTTTTTTTGTTTGACTTTTTTCCCTCACTGTTTTGTGGTGTCATTTTGGACACGATCATTGTCCAGATAATTCATCAATTAGATTAACTTAATCTAATTGAAGAAACAGAAGAATCCCAAACACTTACGTAATCATTAAGTGTTTGGGATTCTTCTGTTAGAGTCTGTATATTAAAATAAAATTAAAATAATAAACAAAAACAAAAAACCAGCGACTCACCAACTTGGATTCAATAAGTTTATATTCTGTTTCTGTTTTACCTATATCCTTGTAGTTATATGTCTCTGAAAGTTAAAACAAGAAACAATAAAAAAAATAAATAAATAGTTTTTTTTGTGCGTAATTATCCCTTCTTAATTAATTGGTAAATTTAATAAAATGAATTTAAGAGGGGGAAAAGGGAGCTTCTAAAATTTCGTTTAATAATTTACTTCGAGTAACATTCTTTCTTTTTTTTTTCTTTCTTTCTTATTTTTTTTTTTTTTTTTTTTTCGTATTAAAATTTTCAAGTTAGCAAGTGAAATGTCAGTCCTCACTGGGTGTTTCACATTTTTGTTTGACCTTCTTGAACTTCCTAAGCTTAGTACTAAAAAATATCAAAAAATTAAAACAACTTTTTTAAAATTTTGGTGGGTGTGCTCCAAAAATTTAATGTCCCAAATTAAACAATAAAGAGAGAAAGTGTTGCTTTTTTTTTCTTGTATGGGTACGGTTATAAACAGCTTTGTATACAACACGTACCACAATATTTTTTTTTTTTTTAAAAAAGAAGAGAAAAATGGGTATTTATTTAAATTACAAAAGATTTTTTAATCAAAAGCTTTGTTGATAGTTTCATTCCTTAATGTCTTTGTCCGTGTGTAAAAATAATGCATTCACGCAACGCAACACATGTTGGTGCTCTATATATCCGCATGTATTTTTATTATTTGGTATCTGTCCGTATTTTTATTTATTTATTTTTTTGCCATAGCTTGTTGTAAATCATAAACTGGAAGAAGCTAATTGGTCGCTCATCAAACTATCTGTCG